AAAAACTCCTGTGAGCTAGCTAAACTTGTTCATAACCCAAAATTAGAAAACACCTTAATGAGGTTCATTATCTGTGAAAATTATAATTACGTTATGAACAGAGAACAAGATGTTGATGCAGCCGTTTCTGATAGGTGACATTTCAAGCATAAAATTATACACCCACTAACCAAAATATATGGTGGTAGTTTGAAACAAAGCAGAGTCTGAGTAATAGCATTCCTGTAGAAGAAGCTTTATGGGTAAAAGGTATACATAAAATATATACAACTTGCTGAAAAGACAATTAGTTTCTGTTTGTGGATTCAATCAAAACAAGAAGAAATATGAACCATTGTCATATATTATTATTTATTAAATAAGTATTAAAACTCTCAATGACATAAGCTGCAATGACTTCAGTGACTGTTATAATCCCTGAAAACTATATTGATGTCATTCTCAGTGACCAAATATCAAGAAAGCTTTTTAAAAAGTTGATTGCTGGCACCTAGGAATCATATTAATGTTGTACGGCACCTAGGAATAGTATTGATATTGTACTAAAGCTCTAAACAAGTGGTCGAAGATTTTTTTTAAAGATAGCTAACTCATATGAAAACTTCTCAGACATAAAGATAATTAAATCAACCTAGTCAACGTTGTCAATGTTGTTTTGCCATAATTATACAAAATTATTAATATCTGTCATTTCTGTACTGTAGCTACCTTCACTCTAAACAACCTTATCAGTTCTGGGACTCATGCCAAGTTAACTGACATACTCCTGTTAGACATTAGTGGACCTAAAATACAGCTCTATGAGTGTGTCTACACAAGAGACATTAATGTGCATTAGTTAAACTAATGCGCATTACTGGCATGTGTCTACACATGCACACACTTAATGTGCATTAACTTAGGCTAATCATGCCTAAATTTGATACCTGCAAATGCGATTAGTTTAGGAGTGATTAGTTAATGTGCATTAACGCATGTGTAGATGCACCCTGTAACTAACTTTAGTGCAGGGTCTGCCCTGCCACTAGGGGGCCAGCCTGAGCCCAGCTCCAGGGAACATCCAGGGGTTGGGGTACTGGCATTTGCCCCAGGGCCCTGCCCTCTAGGCTTCTCCCCCCTGGCCCACAACCCAACTCTGGGCTTGAAGACCCAAAACATTGTAAAAATTTTCCCCTTGTATACAGTTTTCCTCTTGTATATAGTTTCCCACTTGTAAGTGGGGTTTTTTTGTTGTTGCAGGGTGGTGGAGGGGCTCTGTTGGTTGAGGGGAGAAGGTTTCTGTTTGTTGAGGGAGGAGGGCAGAGGGATGGGAGCCGATGTTGTGAGGATAACAACTTTTTTTGTTTCATCCATGTACATGTCCTGAGAGTAGTGCTGGGGGTGGGCAGGGGGTAGAGGGTATGTGAGCAGCGGAGCAGGCAAGCTGGGGCAAGGAGTACAGGAGGAGGGTGTCAGACCACAGCACTCCTACAGCCAGTGCTCTGGCCCCTGCTGGCAGATGGGGTTGGGCCTGCTGGGGCCAGCAGAGCCAGGACCATGGTCAGTAGGAGTGTGGGGTGCTGATCATCACTGGCAGGGGCTGGGCCAGAGAAGTGGGGCACTGGGCATCACTGGCAGGGGCAGGGGCAGCCCTGGTGTGGGGAGCCAGGGTGGACAAGGAGGGATCAGCTGCTCCTGCACTGGAAATGAAGTGTCTGGACAGGGAAAGGGCTGGCCAGGGATCAGAGTTTCCCAGATGGCTGCCAGGTTCTGGCAGCTGGCTCTGGTTTCAGCATGGCTGCCAAGTGCTTGCATCCATATGGTTAGAGGCTGGAGCTCCCCCTGGTGGCCAGAGGGGCATGTGGCAGGGCTACAGGGACTTGTGCTTAACTTTAGACAACCTTAGTAGACACCTGCCAAAAAGTGCTTAATGCACATTAGCTTAATGCATGCTAAATTTAGTCGTTCTTTAATGTATGTGAGTTACAATGAGCTATAAAACTATTGGTCTCTGTTAAGTCCATAGTTCTTGGAGTCCAATGAAATTAGGATTTTTTGTTCCCAGGCCTGCCTTCTGAAGGTATTGCATAGATTTCCTTTGAGGACAAGGACTATGAAGTCAGAGATACAGCAACTGTTTCGTGAAAAGTATCCTCTTATAGCTGATGGTGTGTTTCTGTTCTTTGAAATTTTTCTGTGAGTTCATTCTGGAGGGTAATGGGTTTTGGTTCCTCCAACAAAGTTTCCATTGCATTGAAGTATTTATATTTTGTGATTGGCATGCATAGGATCCATGAATGTGATGGTTTGGTTGTGAGCTATGCTGTTGTGGTGATGGTGGAGTTTGTAATGTGATTTAGGATGATAAGTGTGAACAGTGCATACAGAAAAATATGCACAGTAACTGAGAATTAATTAATTAGTATTTAGCCAATAAAACCTACCTGGAATGTCCTTTGAAGGGATTTTAAGATATTCATAGATTTTAATTTATTTACTACTGCCAAAGAGATTAATTTTTTCTGGATTCTAGTTTCTGAATGATGCAGGGGAGTCTAGCATCTAGGTAAATCAGAATGTATTTTGTGTTTTTGACAACAGAAAATATGAATGTAAAAATGCCATTGCCTTGTTCCTTTCTGTTGTTTACTCTGGAGTAGGATGGCAAAAAGGGAAAAAAACAACATTTTATTTCACTTGCATTTGTGCTGTCAGTGTCTTTGCTTTTTTATATTTCCTAGGAAATATGATAAGCTGGATCCAAAATCCACGTAAACACTACTTGACTTCTGTAAGAATGTGAACTAATCCAATTTTTTTGTAATCTCAAAAAATTCTCTCTTGTGGACTATTTAAAGTAGATGTGGAGTAAAAAAGTTAAGCATGTAAGTGAGGTAGGAGCCTAAGTTTATGTCTATACTACCTCCATGCCACCCCTGGGAGAGCCTTTATGAAGTACAGCTTCCCTTTTCACTCCTACTCATATCTATGGATGCCAAATACTCCTATGTAGTTGAGGATTACTTTTGAATTTTAGTTCCTTTCACAGATGATTATCCTTCTTAAAGGAATGTGGAGGGCTTGTTTTTCACAGTTTCCCATATAAGCCTCCAGCAACAACAGTAAGAAAATGCTCAAAGACCCATGATATGCTCAGATCATTAAAAGATTAATCAACTGTCTACATGATATTTAATTAAGTTTTAATGGTTTATTGTGGCTTTCCTTTCTTATTTTCTTTGGCAATTAGTTACACAGTCACAGTATAAAACACCTGTCACTATGAGCATCAACACTCTTAAAATCAACTAACTATCTGGGTGTGAAAGTTTGTGTGTTGTTTGTTTAACGTCCTCTATTTTAATTGCACCACAATGCTACTTGAATATGACTGTCTTAAGTGTATAAATATTACCCATGTATAAAAACAGTAGCATAATTAAAAAAGCATTTTTGTTAATAAAATGAAAATGAGCTGAATACAACTTCATTAGTATAAAGTAATTTATACTTTGCTTGCCTGGTATTCAGTTTAATTAGGAATTAAGTTTCTAAGGAAAATGTATAAAAATGAAAATCTAGTACCTAATAAGGATGCATGTTAAGGATCCATGTAACCAAGTGGTATTATTGTCACCATACTGCCACATTCCTTCTGTTTTTCTATTACATACACCCATTGAATCTAGCTAATAAATTTATAAGCCCTTTGCAATAACCGCCACCTTTTAATAAACATTAGTATTTGGCCCTTCATATTAAATCTAATTCTGTCAGAGACCTTTGGGTGTTGTTAGGCCATGAATGGGAACCTATAAAAATGCCTTAAAGCTGATTTTAGTCACAAGATTAGAAACAGTGCGAAAACGCATAGTCTGCTATTTAAATATGAACACCTTGCCTTCCTCGTAGATTAGCACTTTCTTCTTTCATAATTGTTAATAGCCTTGCTCGACTTGCTGTTGTTGTATCTAAACATTTTTTTTTAAATGGCTTCCTTTTCTGGCTAGAGACATAAGTTGTTTATTAATACCACAAAAGAAAGATAAAAGGCAGCATAACACTCACATGCTCACTCTCTCACGCAGACACACAAAGTGAAAACAAATACTGATACATAGTACATACCAATTTATAGTAGAAGAAGCCTGGCCAGTTTCTTTCCATTATAGCAGCTCTCCATATTTCTCAGTTGGGTATTTTGTGGTATTTCAAAACTTTGTGAAGTTGCTTTGCATTACTTTAACTAGCTTTGTTTCTAAATTAACCAGTCTCTCAATGGTATTGAGTGTGCCTGTCTTAATCCTTCACTTCAGCTCTGAACCTCTTTAGATCAGTTTAGTAACAATAAGTTGACCTAACTTCTGTTATTAAAATATTGAAGTAATAGTGAAATAAAATAGTGTTTGATAAATCATGATTAAAATATTAAACCTTTCCAGAAAATATGTTTAACTATTTCATGTGCTTATTGAATAGTTCAGCATGTAGTTCCATCAAGGCAGAACATTTGATAATAAAATAATAACCCCAAGTGTTCTTTTCACATGCAAACAGGTAAATATAGCCCAAATATTCCTTATGATTGTCAAAATATTTTGTGATATTTTGCTTGCCTTCAGCTATATTCATTTCTTTGGGACTTTAGATAAAGTTGTGATTACCATTCAATATAAAAACAATTTACATTTACACTGTTGTTTAGTCAATAGAAACTATTTTCTATCAATACAAGGGTAGAAACAGAACAGTCTTCTTAAGTAAAATGAACAATGAATTATTTGGTGAAAATTAGTGACACTTTCATTATGTTTAGAAAATGAATGTAAAATAACTGATTGTGGAAAATGATGGGAGTGGAAACTTCTATTTAAAGTACAAACATACCATTTCAGCACCCTTTAAATTAAGGTGCTTGCATAATAATTAAAGCCAATGCTGTGCCAATATTTTAAAAGGGTAAACAGAATTACCTGGGTAATTATAGGTATGTTAGCCTTAAAAATCTCTCCTAGGCAAAAAGGGGAAAAACTGATATAGGACTCAGTAAAAAAACAGAGAAAAGTAATACAATTAATGGCAGTTGGAATGGATTTATGGAAAATATAACTAACTAGATATCTTTTACTCCATGAGATTACAAGTTTGATTCCTAAAAATAATAGTATCTATGTAATACACTTGACATTTTGGCAAGGTACTACATATCATGTTGATTAACAAACTGTGCAGAAGCAAAATGAACATACCACACAGTAAATATATTATAGTTGGCTAACTCAAAACACACTTTTAACTAGGCATTCATCAGCAGGCACTTGAAACCTATTTCTAGTAGGTTTCAAGAAGGTTCTTTGCCTTTTAAAAATGAGCAGTTTTTTCAATGACCTGAACTAAAACATAAAATCATTACTGATGAAGTCTGCAGATAACACGGATATGAGGGGAATGGCCAGTAATAAATAGGACAGGTCACTTACACAGAGATCTGAATTACTTGGTAAACTGGGAACAAGTAAACAACATGCATTTTAACAAGGTCAAAT